AACCTTATTTAGGTGATGAAAGGGATGATGAGTTCTTAACAAAGTATGAAACTGAGAGCTTGAAGAGCTGGCCTTGCAATCCTTGAAAATCTGTTTGGTTTTTGGTTCTGGTTTGCTATATTAGTCTGTGATATTCCTGCTTTCTGCTATCTGTGACTCAAAATACGGGATCTAACTTTCTGAATCATGCACTGAACTCTGACTATAATTTAGTTTCTTGCACTTGTGCAAAGTAAATGCTGACATTCCACCAGTATGTATTTGGCAGTTACTGTATATGTGGTATAGTCCATCCCATAAAGTGATGGTTCCATGAGATTCAGACTTAACTTATACTCAGAAAAAATCTTGTTTTTCGAATCATTCTAACATTGGAAAACTATTGGGCATAACTTTGTTTCCTACTTAACCTGCAGGAAGAGTGAGTCCTGGAACAGGTTTATTTTCTGCCTGGTGCATATGGTTTCCAAGACCTGATGCCCCTCTGAGCAGAACTCTATTGCAGATTGAATTTAAAAAGGCTGACTATTTCTGGTTATGAAAGAGGAATGCTGGCAGAAGTAGAGTGTAGATTTATCAAAGGTGTAAATTGATTGTAATGTCTGACTTGTAGTGGTAGAGATATTTCAGTGCTGGGTGGCATTTGTAATTTAGGAACTGTAGGACTGAAGAAGCACCTTATTCTGCATAGGCTGTAAAGATGTCTTGTGTATATTACTTTCCTATTGCTTCCTAACATCTCTGAAGATACAAGGGGAAACGATGAGAGCATTTAGGGAGATGAAGAATGAAAATGGAACCAAACTGTCATTTAACTTACCCTGTTGCTGATCATATTGAGACAATAATATTGACACAAATGGTTGACTCCCTTCAAAAAGAGTAAATTTTAGATGTGTGGAGGAAGGTGTGCAAGACCAATAATGTCTTGGTTATCTTAATATTTATTGCTATTCATGATCAAAGCATGAAGCAGTTGTGTTATAATCCTGCTATATAAACTGATTCCACGTGTAACTTGAAAGAACAATAAACACAATACTGTCTTTTATTTCTCAAGTTCCTTTTCCTTCAAAGAGCTTTCAAACGATACAGAAGGAATGACTTTTCTTGCCAGTGAAACATGGAAGTTTTAGCAACATGTAGCAGTAGAATTATTATTTTTTTTTAATTTCAGGGCAAAGAGAAATGTACCATACAACTGATACTGTAGGGAAGAGGGTAGACAAAGCAATTTGTCTAAGCAGAATACAGATACGAGATCAGGCTATTATACTCTTCAAAAGTGATTTTCTTCAAATACTTAGTAAAAAAACTAATAGATAAACAATACATCTGGATAGGTAGGTGAAAAAAAAGTGTAGTACTGGTCTCTTTCCCAGGGAGGGAGACCCAGCAAATCTCAGATCCTGCAAGTCCTTGGATACTGAGCTGTAAATATTAGAGATGCGGACATAAAAAGGATATTGAAGAATCCTGGTTTGCCATTTCACGTTCCAAAGGAGATGCCTTTGTTGGTAGGCGTAGCCTGGACAGGAAGAGACACATCAAGTCATGCTTCTGCTAGCAGGGTTGCTTTTCCACACTGGGGACTTTTCACTTTTACTTGATATCTACTGCCCACCTATTCCTCTTTCCAGTGTGGCACGAAGAAGGCAATGCACCAGGCTCAGCTGGTGCATACAGACAAGAAAATCAGAGGTATCTCAGATTATTATGTGAAGACTAGTTCTGAAACTTTGCTTTTAAATATTTTGTCTGCTCTTAGTGTTGCCAGAGGAATGAGATTAAAAATAGACCTGAGTCCTGATGGCACTGGTAATTTAGAAACAATTCTACTGCTTTATATATAAGTTGTTTGTCATCTTCTTTCCTTGTTAGTTAGCACTAAAGGGCATGTGCGTGGTAACACAATCTTCATGTTTTATAATCCTTCCTGTGCTTCTGTCACTTTGCTCCCTAATCCAAAATCCTAATTCCCTGTGACATCCCTATTAGTTGCTCTGAAGAAAATTCTGTTGCCACAGAGGATTATGACATCAGGCAATGACTGTTAGCAGCAGGAGGAGATGAACTCTCTAGACAAAGATCCTTTTATGATTCAAATGGCCCATAGTACTAAGAAGTGAGGCCAAGTACCCAGCATCTGTGCTGTGCTGTCACGACTGACTTTAAAGATGGCAGGTCAGGCTTCAAGCTTCCTTGTGGTATTGTCAGGCTTTCAAAATTCCTCATCATTGTGTTTTTTTCTTTTTCTTTTTTTTTTTTTCCACCTCTGCCTGCTGAAAGTGCTGTTCCCATCTTCACAGTTGGTTTCTGTTAAATACAATTCAGATACCATAATACAGGCCATGAATTCAAGTACTTTGGCTCTCTGGGCTTTATCATATGAAGACCTCAAGGCACAGGTACTGGGCCTCATGCAGTCTTATTCCTTGAATGGTGTCCTTTCTCTTGAGGCATCTAGACAAAGGATATGCCCATTGTCAAGTCCAGTTACTGATTAAAGCATTCTCAGAAGAACGTAGGAAAGTGGACAAATGCTGTTGAAAATGGTGTTGTTCTACTCTGCTTCTGTGTAATACTCTTTATAGTTGATGATGTAGCAGGTTTGCATAGAGTCCCAGTTGTTTTCTGGTTTAATTTTTAAAATATAGGTGCTTGTTTATACCTCTAGGAGTATTGGCATTCATGTTTGAGGTTAGTGGTATAGTAATGTGCAGGAGAGGTATCAGTTCCTCATTCCTTATTCTCAGATAATTTAGACAATATAGGCAAAATGACAACTAATATTCTAATTTAGATTGTTAGATGTTATCCCTTCTTCTGCTCAGCCAGAGTAAATCTGAAGCAAGTGTCCATCTGAAGTGTAAATCTGAAGCAAGACCACAACCTGATGCACATGTATATATATTAATCTCCATGATTTTTACAAGAGTCAAGGCAAGAGGGAGGCCTGTACATACATGTGCCTGCCAGCCCACGCTGGAATGTCTGTCAGCTCTGTTCTAACCTAGAAGTGATCTGTTCATTTCACACTGTGCCACTGAGGCCATTGGGTTTCATATGGCTGCAGATGAGAGTCAGGTGGGTGGGAAGAAGAGGCAAAGGGGAGGAGAAAAGTGTTGAAAAATGCTGCTCAACTTTCCTTCAGCACGGCAGCAAGGGGTTTTCTTGCTGTGTCTGCTGCTGTCACTTCTTTTCAATAGGTGAACTTTCCTTCAGGGATTTTTTTTGTAGTCTTCTATTAACCACACTTACGCTTCTACCTAGAGGTTTTGGGGTTTGTTTGGTTTTGGTTTTTTTATGCTGTTATAAATTCTGGAAAAAGCTCAGGTTTTAGTTAACATTCAGTCAAACTCTGCTTACCAAGGCACATGTTCATTCTCAGTTCAGGAGAGACGTAAAGAAATGCAGATAGCTGAAAACCTACTGAAATTCATCCATTCTGTTCTTTCAGTGAGGAAAGGTGATCTGGTGGGGAGAGTAGAAACTGTGCACCATAGCTTTAAAGGTCCATTCCTGGCTTGGTCTTTGAATTGTTAGGAGGATCAGGGCCTGACATGGGACTTCCAATTTGATGTGGGTTCTACAAGGGCTCGTAAATATGGAGGTGATCCGTGTGCAATCTCAATATCAGAGATGTTGAATAATGATGGTATTTAGTGAAATCGCTATGGATGGTGTCCGATGGAGGTTGAAGGGTTTCATTTTATGTTAAAATATTTAAAAATGCTGTCTCCACTTTGGTCTGTCCTATCTAATCTATAACATAGGTGGTGTTGATGTAATGAAGAAATAAGAAGGATTGAGTCTTGTGGAGTTGCTGTTGCTAGCAAAGACGGTGAAGAAAGATGCTGGGATGAGTTGAACAGTTGTTTCTTTGCCCTTATAGTATTCTCCTAGACTGGAAGTGGTTAATGAACTGATCTCAGGCAGCCTAGCTACTTGATCCTTTATTACCTGCTTTATTTCTTTAATTTCATCTTTTCCAACACATACAGGATAGAGCATAGTAATTATGTCAAATGTATATGTACATTTCATTTAAAATCTCACGCAACAGAAGTGACATACCTTCGTCTAGACCGCTGAATATAAAATACTTTCCCAGGAAGTAACTTGTAAACTCATGTTTTTGTAATCTATGGCTTGCAGCTTCACACAATCACTCAGATGATTCAGAATCCAGATACCTCCTTGTGGATGACATAGTGGCTGTCATTCAGAGTCTGTCTGATCTGAAGATTATTTTTTTTCCTGTTGCTTGGATTTTGTCTTTGCAAAGCTTATCTGAGTAGGATAGCAACTGTTAGCTGCAAATCTATTAGTAGTGACTGCTTCCTTCTCTGCTTCCACCAACAGCATGGAAAGCAGTCCAAAAAGACAAGTGTTGTGGATAGATGTCATGCCCTTCTGAGGACTTTATTAGAATGTTTCCAGAGGAGCCTATGCAATAGTTCAGAGTGTTTGTTTTTTTGTTTGTCTGACTGCTATTAGCCTATAAAGCCAAGTTGTAACCAGCAGGGGCCTCAAAACTTCAGTTTGAATCTACATTATCAGGGTTCTTTGGGTGTGATGAGGCATTCTTCATTGGCCTATTAATTAGCATTCATTTCTATAAGGGGATCAAACATTTAGGGAAGCACAACAACCTGGCTATGTCTGTTGGCCTGGCATCACCCCCTATTTTACTGTAAAATTGTTTGAGCAAGTTTGGAACATGCAAGTTGGGTCTGCCTAAGAGGGAATATGTTGCTGTTCCCTCTTCCTTGCTTTGTGTTATAGTTTGCTGTTTTGTTGTGAGATGTACATTTGTCTTTGTGCTCTTTTTACCTGAGTTTCTTGCACATCTAGGAGTGGAACAGTGTTTGGTTAGTGCTTTCTCTCTTCTGCATGAGGATCCCTGATGGTAATGGTAGTGATTAATTGAAGCTTTTGTGGGCCTGACCAAGGTGAATCAGCTTTATTTCACTCTTTCCTTGTCATCCTTTCTCCAGGACCAAGTACTACCTGCCAGGAAGATTCCTGTGCGAATCAGGGCATCTGTAATCAGCAGTGGGAAGGCTTCACCTGTGATTGCTCCATGACTTCATATTCTGGGAGCCAGTGTAATGATCGTAAGTAGACTTTTCAGTGAGTTCAGTGAGTTCTAATATGTGAGAGCACTGAGAACACGTTTCATTGTTCTTTCAATATAATGCAATTTTCCCAAAGTCAAATTCAAACTTCTATTTTTGGAAATTTTTTTCAAGCTACAGCAGTTTATCTCTTTTCTCCTTAAAATGAAAATACGCTATTCAGCAGATTTTGGTTTTGTTTGGCTAGTTTTTCTTGGGGGTTGGTTTGTTGGGTTTTTTTCGCTCTTCTTTTTGAAAGCTAACGTCACCAGTCCAGTGGTGATAATTGATGTTAATTAATCATGGTAATGATGTTTAGAGAAACCAGGAATGACTTGAAAATATTGTATGTAATATTTTCATAGGTAAAAAGTGTCTAGGTTTTGTGTACTGAATTATGCTTTGAGATTTTTCATTCAAAACTTGGTGCAAAAGACATGGAATGCATATAAAATGAGTAGTGTTCTAGATAGTCTTCTACTGAAATACTAGCTGTATGCTAAAGTGCTGGCTAGTGTTTGAGAGAATGTTCACTTAAAACCAGAGATGAGTTAAATACACAGCAGAACCATTGTGCTTCTTGGTGTATTGATTTGCTTAATCTCAAAACCTTGGATCTTCTTGGCCAATAACTGCTATGATCTCTGATAAAATAATTGAACAAACCCCATAAGTCTGCCCTTAGGGGGCAGATAATCAGCTTTTTGACATTCCCTCTGCTCATCATGATTTGGCCTTTACTCCTGCCTGGAGGGAACAGATCACTTCAGCTCTACTGTGTGCCTGCTTCTCTTAGTTGAGGTGACTGCCCACTTCTCCCTCACTTGCTCCAAGGCAGGGAACAAAGGAATACACCATGAGTGCTCTAGTAAGCATAATAGTAGGCTTCAATAATTTGTTTCACCTACTGTAATTTTAATAACTAAACCCAGAAAAAACTGCTTTTCATTGAGGCGTTTGTGGTACACTTAATTAGTGGTACCAGCAAGGTCCATGCAATGCTGGTACCACAGCACTGTCATATCTGCACCCTTCCCCTAAAAGCCTGAGACATGACTGAATTGATGGCACATATGACAAGCTGTGTAGCATATGGTGACAATCCGTTTCTGCTGAAGGCCAAAATGCCTGCTTTTCTGAGTCATTCATAATGCGTAGTGCTGTCTGTGTTGGTCTCCCATTTCTTCCAGCATATTTCTCTCAGATATTGGGAAGGCCAATCAGCAGTCATACTTTGACAGGGGATGTATAAACAAGGTACTACTGACACAGATTTATAGGCTGTAATGCTATGTCTGGTTTTGGGTTGCTTTGGAATTCAGAATGTTTCCTTTGGGTCCAGAAGAAACATTTCATGTTGGAGTCACAAGATCTGGTGCCAATTTTCTGCGTTTTTGTTTTGGTTTGCTTTTATCAATTGGACACCCACTTTCCCACTCTGAAACTACTTGTTCAGTCAATCAGTTTAGACTTGCTAAGCATAGCACACAAACGTGTGAAAGAAACACTACTTTGAATTCTGTTGGGTTGCATTTAAATACATATCCAGGAAACCTCTTATATTATTGATACTGTGGGGTTTGTTTCTAATGTGTTTGGCTTCACAACTCCAGAACGTTGCAGTGCCCTTGTTAAGCTGTTGCTAATGGCTTAGAACAGGCCCTGAAGCATCAGGAAGAGCCAGGTTCCTGTGTCTGTAATTGGAGATTTCTTGCTGCTTTTTAGAGCTGGCAGCTGGAAATAATGCAGAGAAAGGAGCTTGAAATGAGTGGGTGTGTTGTGGGCAGCGTAGGAACCACAGTTATCATCCAGTTACCAGGCCTGGATGGTAATTTACAAATGCATGCAGAAAGATGTGGGTTTCAAAATGATCTGGAAAGGTAAGTCATGTGGACTTCTTCTGGAACATGACAAGACTTCATCCTGGAGCTTCAAAAAGTGCGTATAACACCTTTTTTTGTGGGTTATGTTTGTTTGTTTGATTTTGTCTTTATCACATATCATGACATTGGAAATAGAATTCTACTTCTGACTTCTGATACAGTTAGGATACATTGTGGGTGTGTAGTTGAGAAGTCCTGTTCTTTTCTACCTTTTAGATAATCAAAGTAAAGGCATCTAACAATTGAAGCAAATACTCTAGACTGGATTTTAGTGCAAGTAATGGCAGGGGGAGATACCTCCAGTGTAACCTGAGGCCTTTAATTTAGAAATGCATTAGGGTCTTTGGTGGAACTTTTTTTGGCCAAAGCAGTCTATTTATTAATTTAGTTGATGGCTATTTCTACCTTATGAGCAGTTGGTGGTCTCCCACTGGTGTAAATATGGAGTATTGAAGTAAATAGAATAGGTCTAGTTTTACAGAATGACAAAGTTAGCAAAAGGCTGACTTATTATACATATTTTGCCTTTCTGTTAAGTCAGATGTCCACACTGGAAATTTGCATTTTCATGTGTTCTGTGAAGAACGTATCTGTGCCTCTGAGACAGATAAATGGAAAGTATGGTGTTCGCTTCAATTATTCTTGATGATCTCCTAGACTATCTCAAATTAACTATCCGTAGGTGTGATTTATGTTTGGGTTTTTTTGGGAATAGGCATTCTTGTCTATCTGATCAAACAATAACATTTTCTTCACAGAGAGAATGCATAAGAGAAGGCATTGGCAATCTAGCTAATGAAAATGATATATGCATGTCAGATTAGATCTTAGAAAATGCTGCTTTTTACTCAGTGCTTCATGCAGATGAGTAAACATTGGGGGTCAAGCTTTCCAAGAGCAATTGCCAGGGTAGCACAAATATGTATTAGTGGAGGTGTTTGCCTGTGAAAAATTTATTATTTGCAGCAATGACTAGTGAAAGCACAGTGTAAAGCACCTTTTCAAACAGGCTTTATGTTGTTGTTGAAACAGTTAAATCCATCTGCTGACTTTTGATGGGTAAAGAGAAAAGGCAGCCCGAGCTTTTTGTCCTCCTGTGTTGGTATCTTCATACGCCTCAGGTCTCCATGCTTTTCAAGGGTCCTGTTGATAAGTAACCTTCCAGTGAGATTGCTTTGCTGAGTGATGCTTTTTTTTGGTCTGGGAGAGGAGTAATGTACGGGGCTGTTGGGTTTTTTTTTGTGCAGTAAGTTATATTTTTTTCCCAATCCCTTTCCATGTGATGTATAACCTATAAGCTTCTACTGTCTTTATGTGAATCACATTTGGAGGAGGGAAGGATTAGAGGGAAGGGGAGTTAATGGTGACTTTGTTCCACTGTTCATCAATTTAGCACCATCACAAGAAAAGCTTTTGATAACTTCAGTTATGTAATCATAGAGAGTGAGCCTTACTAACCAATTTTTTTTTTTTACTTGAAATAAAAGGAAGTATATCAAAATTATCAAAAAAAGTCTAAGAGCAATACTTTAGAGTAAAGAGTATTTTTGATTGATGAAGGAAGACTGAAGCTGGCCTTAGCCCCACGTGTGTGAGATACCAAGGTTGTCAGAGCAGGCCCATCCCTCTTCATTAATGCCCTTCTTTTTTGCACCTTACAAAGTAAGTGAATGAGTATGAAAGTGTATTGATGCTTCTGGAGCATAGTCTGTAAACTAGGCTGCAGTGGCAGAACTGTTTTCCCTCACACCTGCTTTAATAGCAAGCAGAATAGTAATTAGAAGAGACTAGTAGCAGGGCAAATGGCTAAATAAGTAACCCTTCCTTTATGATGATGTCTTTATTCTGATATGCTCTTAAGCCATTTGCACCCCAAACTTACTTTGTGAGTCACTGAGCAGTTAAAGCTCGTGCTCTACATTGCAGGATTCAGACCTCCAGTTGGGAGATGAACCCTATTCCCTTTGTCTCTCTCACTATTTTGTGTTTTCACCATCTGGGCCCATTTTTGTCCAGAATTCATGACCTCCTTTAATGTCAATGCCAACAAACTCAGCTTGATTTACTTACAGAAACACTCTTCATTGTTCATATTTAATTATCACCCATTTGTTTCTAATGGGCCCAGCTTACTCACTTAGTGATTCAGGGAGCAAGAGGTTGCTAGTGTGTAGAAAATAAATCTGCATTGACTTCATTAGTCATGCATGGCTAAACCAGTCAGCTGTTTAAATATCATCATGCTTGGGGATTTGCCTTTGATACTACAGAGACATCCATCCTACATGAAGCAAGAGTCACCTCTGATTTATCTTGAGTGAATCATAGTTCATTACAACAGGTCAGACACTCTGCCTACTTCTTAGTTCTCTCCTCATGCTTTGTTCTTGCTTACTTAGTGGTCTTTCACAGATTATACCAAGTGTTTTCTGGTTGATGGCTCATTTTGAGTTCCTAACTTAAGCCTTTGGTGTCTTCTGACAGTGAATGACCTTATCCTCTGAGAATGAGGGTAAAAAAAGAAGAGAAATGCAACTGTGTACTTTAGTACATGATGTAAATTGTAGCGCTATGATTTGGGTTATGAACTCTGCTTTCATCCTTCTTCACACTGTTTACTTTCATTTGCCCTGCAGGTCCAAGAAATGTAACATCTTTAGGGCAAGGATCTGGTGCTACTTCTTATTAAAGCACCATGCACTTTTCTGATGCTTAGTAATAGCCCACTACATAACTGCCTTTGCTCTTCGGTGATTTCAGAATGCTCATTCTTCTCAGCATACCAAAATGCATTTCCCCTCCCTTGAGTAACATGTGTTAAACATCAAATCAGACTGCAGATCAAGAGCTTGTTTGCCCCGTGTTCCCTTTGGGAGTCATCTGGAATGGGCAGTGCTGTCAACATTAGAGGGAGAAATTTGTCTGTCCCTGTTTTGGGGGAGAAAGAGGGAATTTGAGTGACAGGTGCTTTTTGAAATTGCTTCTTCTGCACCTTTCAGCCTCTCAAGGTGCCCTGACATGTAAGTGTTTCCTTTTTTTAATAGTGAAAGCTAGCCAGCTTTATCCTTTTGTGGTCCCCAAAATGCAGCTAGGTCTCTAGTGAGTAATTTAATTACG